CTTTATATGTGGTTCAGAGTTCTGGGGCCATCCCCTGAGCCTGCTTGGTCGGGTATTCTGTGTTGTTGTTGTTGGCGCTGTACTACACGTCCACCTGATCCACCATCTTGTTTGTTCTTGTCTTGATTTTTTTATAATAGTGTTCTTATACAATTTTAGACCTTTTGTGATTGACTATTTCACTCAGCATACTATCTTCCAGGTTTCTCCATGTTATGATGTGTTTCACAAGTTCATCTTTCTTCTTTAATGTTGCATAATATTCCATTGTGTGTATGTACTGTAGTTTCATCCACTCTTCCATTAATGGCAATTTAGTTTTTTTCCATCTTTTGCCATTGTGAATTATGCTGTAATAAACATGGGTGTGCATATATCTATTGGGTCATGGCTCTTATTTCTCTAAGACAGGTACCAAGTGTTGGGATTGCTTGATCATATGGTATGCCTATTTCCAACTTTTAAAGGAAGTGTTACATGGTTTCCTGGAGTCCTGGTGTGAGGCTATAATATAACCACTGGACCACAAGATTGGTGTTTTAACTGCAAGGTCTACGGTTCACATTGCACTTAGAAAAAACAACTTACTGTTTTCCACAATCATTACACCATTTTGCATACCCACCAGCAATGTATGAGAGTTCCAGTCTTTCCACATCCTTGTCAGCATTTGTTGTTTTCTGGTTTTTTGAACTTTGATATTAATCCTGGGGTGAGATGATATCTAATTGTTGCTTTGATTTGCATCTCTCTAATGGCCGGTGATCACATACATTTCTTTATATGTTTGTTTACCATCTGATTATCTTCTTTGGTGCAGTGTCTATTCATTTCCTCTAGTCATTTTAAAAATTAGATTATTTGTCTTTTTCTTGTTGGGGTATTGACATTTTCTGTACATTTTGGAGTTTAATTCCGTGTCTGATAAATCATTTCCCCAAATTTTGTTCCCCAGTCTATGGGTTCTCTTTTGACTCTTGGTGATATTACTTGTCTAATCCACATATGCCTAATTTTTAGAAGGCCCCAGTCATATAGTTAATTTTCTGTTTGTGTTTTCAATTGTCTTTGATTGCATGTTTATGCTGTGTATTTGTTGTTCTTCTAGCCAATTGTGACCTTGTATAGGAGTAGCTGGAAGGTTTGAACTGCTGACCTTGTGGTTAGAAGACCAGTGCTTATTCTATAGTGCCACACCAGAGGTCCATGCCATGTATTGTTATTGTTGTTGTTAACCTTGGAGTTGGTTCCAACTCATAGTGACCCTGCATAGGGTTTCTGAGACTGTAAATCTTTATGGGAGCAGAACGCATCATCTTTTTCTTGTAGAATCGCTGGTGGTTTTGAACTACTGACCTTCAGGTTGGCAGCCCGACTCGTAACCACTACGCTACCAGAGCTCCTTGTATTAGGACCTTAAATTTGTCCCTATTTTTTTTAATTGATGACTTAATATTTCTAGGTTTTACATTTAGGTCTTTAATCCACATGGAGTTCAGTTTTGTATAATGTGCAAATTACAGGTTTTTTTTTTTTTTTTGAATAGATATCCTGTGTTTCCAGCACCTTTTGTTAAAGAGACTTTCTCTTCCCCATTTAATGATTTTTGACCCTTTATGCAAAATCAGCTTGTTATAGGAGAATGAATTTATTTCTAGTCTCTTAATTTTGTTTCATTAGTACCAGCACCAGACTGTTTTGACTACCAAGGTACAAAATAGGTTTATTTTTAGTTTTGAAATTTTTTATATTATGGATTAAGTGGAGGTTTACAAAGCAGACTATCAGTTTTATATACAGCAAATCACACTTTGTTTCATCTCAATGATTGCAGTACACTACATGTACAACATTCCGTCCTCCTCCCCAACCCCTCTGAACCTTGTCCCCAAGTAAATGTTGCTCTTTTGATCTTGAATTGTTGACCATTACATGATACAAAATAGGCTTTGGAATCAGGAAGCATGAGGCTTTCTACTTTTTCTTCTTTAGTAGTATTTTGCTTTTCTGAGTTCTCTTTCTTTTCCATATATAGTTGATTCGTTTTTCTGTCTTTCTAAAGAATGATGTTGGATTCTGGATTGGGATTGCATTATATATGTAGATGGCTTTGAGTAGTATTGACTTTTTCACAATGTTAGTTCTTCCTATCCATAGTTTGATATATATTTCTATTATATAGGTCTCTTTTGTAATTTTCCTTGTATAGGTCTTTTGTTTCTTTGGTTAGATTTATCTCAAAGTATGTAATCTTTTGGGTAGCTATTGTAGATGGTATTGTTTTACTGATTTCATTGTCAGTGTTCTCTTAGTTAGTGTAAAGTAACTCCACTGATTTTTGTATGTTTTTTTAGTACTTAGCCACTTTTCTGAATCTTTCAATTAGTTCCAGTAATTTTCTTGCTGTGTCTTTTGGATTTTCTAAGTATAGGATCTTATTATCTGCATATAGAATTTTACTTCTTCTTTGCCAATTTGGAGGCCTTTGATTTCTCTTTCTCATTTTCTTTCTTGCTTTATGGACTTTCAGCACAATGCTGAATCAGAGTGATGACAAAGGGCATCCTTGTCTGGTTCTTATTCACAAGGGCAACACCTTCAGTCTCTTTCCATTGAGACTAATGTTGGGCATTCGTTTGGAATATATGCCCTTTATTATGTTGGGAAATTTCCCTCTATTTTCAATTTTATTGAATGAGTATTGGATTTTGTCAGATGCCTTTTGTGTTTCACTTGATATGGTCATTTGGTTTTTTTCCTTTGTTTTACTTATGAGGTAGATTACATTGATTGCTTTTCTATGTTTTAATTTTTTGAATGACATATGTTCCTAGGGGCCAATTGGCCTTAAATGCTAGACTTACCTCTTTTGGTTGCCATATAATATTTTGATTTATTGATGTTGTTTGGTTGTGTGCCACCAGTATGATTTAAGAAATTTGTTTTTCCACTTTTCCCATTGCTCTCAGTGAGAGAATTGGTGTTACTAACTTAGTCTGTTATTACTGGAAATGGAAATTGTTCTTCTAATAAAGTATTCAATGTGAATTTAGTTATGTAGTAATTTTTAATAAACATATTAGTAAAGGTAACCAAAGAGAAGCAGGAAGAGAGAAGGGATAAGGTGACATGGAATTGCACAAGACCAATGCACATAGAAAGACTAAATACAGGTTTCAAATGAGATAAATGCATTTCATTGTAAGGATCTCTACAGATAAGAATTTGAGATATATCTAGAGTTGGGAATGAAGATATTAAGAAATCATCTCAGGATGTTAGGTAGAGTCCTGGTGTGGCATTGTAGGATAAACATCATACTGCTAACAAAAAGGCTGATGGTACAAATCCAGCAGCTGCTCCTCAGAAACCCTATACAGGGTTGCTATCAGTCATAACCAACTTGATGGTACTTAACAACAATGAGGAAAGAAGACTCCTTCTGATTATTAACTGGGATCTATAATATAAGCCCTGTCAAAAAAGGACCTGGCTTCAAGAAGAGCTAACACTGAAAGCTGAAAACTTCATGGAGTGGGGTAGACGTTGGAATATTGGAACTGAATCAGAACTGAAAAGATTAATGCATTTTAAAGTTAGTCAAAATGGATATTGTCAGCTGAGGATTGAAATTATATATTAGAAAATAATTTCATCTTTAAATTCCTGTACTATGGAATAAGACTTTGGAAGCAGGATATAAAAGAATAATCCCAAGTGATAATCTGAGAAGGTGATAGTGGGTATAGTGAAAGAGGCAAGTATGGGGAAACTTTTTTCTTAACGTCACTTTAGTTACACTGATATGAATTGTGTTCTCTGAAAAAAAAATAGGAAGGGTGTAGGGGTAAAAAGTAAAAATTAAAATGTAGAAAATCATTAGCAAGTTTGTTCAATTCCTAAATAACCCCACTGATTTTTCTTTCCTAGACTCATTGCTACTATCAAGGATATATTGAAGGACATCTGAATTCCCTGGTCACACTCAGCACATGTTCTGGACTGAGGTTATTTATTATTGTTGATTACATAACATCGTAGTTATAATGCTTGGCCACAGTGAATTTGTTAGTTTATATTAAGGGTACAACTGGAGGAAGACTCCCGTATGGATACTGTTCAATATCACATTCTCCCCACTTTCCTCATATACTGGAGATATTTTTGTTTGAAGGTTTAGATTCCCTGATATTGATGCTCTAGTTCTTATTTTACTCCTTAACTAAAGCAATGAAAGTTGAAGTTCCCGAGCACAGCAATTTGGAGGAGCTAAGGTTAGGAGTCCTGATACGTAAGACTGCTGGACTGCTTATCACAAGGCTGGTGGCTCAATCCTACAAAGCTGCTCCTTGGAAACTACAGGTCACTGTGATTCAGAACCAACTCCACAGCACTTAGCAACAACAGAGTTAGGATAGTTTATTTTTTCAGTAGTTACTTTATAATACGCACTATATACCATGACTCTGTGTGGTGCTGCAGGTTAATGCATTGGACTGCAAGGTCAGTTTGAGCCACAAGGTTGGCAGTTCAGGCTCAAGCTGCTCCACAGAAATCCTATATCGGGTCGCTATGAGTTGGAACCAACTTGACGGCACATAAGAGCAACAACTATATACCAGCTTCTATCCTAATATTTGGAGTTTTGGTGTGGCGCTGTGGGTTTATGCGCTGGACTGCAAAGTTGGTTTTATTTACAAGGTCGGTGGTTCAAGCTCACCAGCCACTCCTTGGAAACCGTATACAGGGCCACTATGAATAAAAGCTGACTGGACGGTACTTAACAACAATATCCTAATATTTGGAGATATAAAAAAATACAGAAAGATAAATAAGGCATTTCATAAGAAAATTATCACTAGAGCAAAGAGGCACATTGTATATAAATGAATAATTAGTAATATGAGGGTAAGTAAAAAATTATCCATACTCTGGCTTTAGAATTTATTTTAATCAACTTTTTAGAAAACACAGCTACATCATTTTTGACATCATATATACTTGCCTTTCAATATACTTTATCCATCTGTCAGCAAGCTTTTGTATTCCCTTATTAAAAAATGCTTTAGGCTGAGCTGCAAGCCACGAATGTACCACTGTCTTCACTTCTTCATCAGAGGTGAATCTTTGTCCTTGAAGGGCTGCTTTCATGTGACCAGACAGGTGAAAGTCTCATGGACCAAGTTGCAGGGTGGAGCCTTTAACACCTCAATACAAAGTTTTGGCAGTGTTAACAGTATGGGTAGAGATGTGTGTATGTGCATTATCATGTAAGATACAATGCCCTTGGATAGCAGTCCTCTGTGTTTGATCCAAAGTTTAGGCTTCAGCTCTTCAGTGAGCATCTCCCTGTAACAAGCACTGTTGATTGTATTTTTGAACTTTTTCCTTATAGTGTTTCAATACTGGCCCTTGAGAATCCCAGAAAACTGTAAGCACCAATTTTGCAGCTTTTGAACTTTTCCTTGGTCGGTGATTATGTTTCCATTCCGTACGCTGCCATTTACCCTCAGGCTTGCAGTGATGAACCCATGTCTCATCACCAGTAATGATGTTTTAAATAACTTTTTGTCTTCCTTTGAGTTTCAGTCCAAATTTTGTTTGCAGATGTCCAAATGCTTCTGTTTATGCTCTTCTGTGTGGTGTTTTGGTACCCATCTTGCACAAAGTTTTTGAAATCCAAGTCTGTCACAGATTATTTCGTAGGCAGAGCCATGACTGATTTGTAAATGAGTTGTCACATAACCCACTGTCACTCATCTGTTTGACTGGATTATTTTATAGACATACTCAATGTTGCCATCAGCCACGGACAGGCATTTTACTATAACTGCAGTGCGGACAATTTTTGACTTTTCCTCGTATAGTACTGTAGAGTTTATTTCTTTCAAGTTTTATCACCATCTTAAAACTCCCTAAGAACTGTTAGATCTCCTCTGTAGTGCTCAGGGAAGTTTCCATTTTTCTGTCAGAAATGTACCCACCTTTATTAAACGTGATAGTTATTTACACAAACATTTTTCAGTGCTTTTTACTTAGAACCCTGAAACTTGTCTGTCAGGGAATAGCGACTCCATCCATTTCATATATTCAGGAAAGATTAGTTATACAAGTTATCTACACTTTAAAAATTTACTCTTAATTCCTTGTTCAGACTATTTGTTCAGACTATTCCTTGTTCAGACTATTCATAACTTTTTTAAATGATCATTTTCTCAAAAATATTAGAAGCCATACAGAGATTCATTAAGATTTCTACTTACTATTATTTTAATTGAGTACTGACTTTTGAAAACAGGAAAATTACTTCATCACTATAATGCTGTATGCCAGTCTGTCTAGTAATTGATTGGACAATTTCTGCTGCTTTTATAAGTATAAATTAGAAAAGAAAGAAAAAATTGTTTTTGTGAACTAGGAAGATCTTTTGTCTCACAGATTCATCTCTAAACATAAAGAATTTGTATCAAAATAATGACTCAAAAAATGTTAAAAAGTTGATATTATTCTTTTATTTTTGATCCTGTCCATTTACCTGGTTAAAAGCACTTAAAATGTTATGCTTAATTTTACAGAGGAATATTACAATTTGAGAATGCTTCTTACGGAATTGAGCCTCTGGAACTGGAAGTTGAATTTCAGCATCTTCTTTATAAATTTAAGAATGAGAATAATGAATTTCCAATTTTTACTGAAAATAGCAGAAGTATGGAAACAAAACCAATGGGCATTTTTGTAAGGGAAAAAGTAAGTTGTGTATATTTTATTACCATTTTCAAAGCAGTTATTACTTCTATTTAGTTTATTTAAAAAATGAATTAAAAGCCCTTATCCATTGCTGGTGCGAAAATAAAATGGTACAGCCACTGAACAAGACAGTTTGATGATTCTTAGAAAGGTTAGGCATAGACTTACCATTGTTGTTAGTTGCCATCAAGTTCGTACTGACTCATAGAGACCTTCTGCACAACAGAAGGAAACACTGCCTGGTCCTGGGCCAACGTCACAATTGTTGCTATGCCTGAGCCCATTGCTGCTGCCACTGTGCCAATCCATCACATTGAGGGTCTTCCTCTACTTCTCTGACCCTCCATTTTACCAAATATGATATCCTTCTCTAGGAACTACCCCTCCTGACAATATGTCCAAAGTATGAGAGATAATCTGGCCATCCTGGCTTCCAAGGAGCATTCTGACTAAACTTCTTCAAAAACACATCTGTTCTTTTGATACTCCGTGGTACTTTCAGTATTCTCCTCCAACACCAGAACTCAAATGCAGTCTTCCTTATTCATTGTCCAACTTTTGCGTGCATATGAGGTTATTGAAAATACCCTGGCTTGGATCAGGTGCATCTTAGTCCTTCAACTGACATCTTTGCTGTTCAACACTTTAAAGAGGTCTTGTGCAGCAGGTTTGTCCCATGCAATACATCATTTGATTTCTTTACTCTTGCTTCCCTTAGTGTTGATGGTTGATCTGGGCAAAATGAAATCTTTGACAACTTCGATATTCTCTCCATTTACGTGGATGTTGTTTATTGGTCCTAGGGTGAGGATTTTTATTTTCTTTACCTTGCGATGCAACCCATACCAAAGGCTCTGACCTGTAATTTTCATCAGTAAATATTTTAAATCCTCTTTGCTTTCAGCAAGCAAGGTTGTATCACCTGCATATCACAGGTTGTTAATGGGTCTACCTCCAATCCTGATGCTAACTTCTTGGATTATTTGTTCATATAATCCAGTTTCTCAGATTATTAGATTGAATAAATATAGTGAAAGAATACAGCCCTGGTACACACCTTTCCTAATTTTAAACCATTCAGGATTCCCTTCTGTTTGAACAAGTGTCTCATGGTCTGTGTACAGGTTCTTGATGAACACAGTTGAGTGTGCTTATACTTGGCAGTGTTGTCAGAGCTTGTCACGATCCATACAGTTGAAAGCCTTTGTGTAGTTAGTAGGCTTTTTGGTATTCTTTGCTTTCAGCCAAGAGTCATGATGTCAGCAATGCTATCACTCATTCCTCGTCCTCTTCTTAATCTGTATTGAACTTCTGGAAGTTCTCTGTCAGTGTATGGTTGCAGCCATTTTGTATTATCTTGAGCAAAACTTTACTCTCATGGGATATCAAGGATATTGTCCAATGATTTCCACATTCCATTGGATCACCTCTCTTTGGAATGGGTACAAATATAGATCTCTTTTAGTCAGTTGGTCAGGTAGTTGTCTTCCAAATTTCTTGACATAGATGAGTGAGTGCCTCCAGTGCCTCATCAGTTTGTTGAAAGATTTCAATTTGTATTCCATCTATTCCTTGTGCCTTATTTGCCACATGTAGGATTTAAGGTAAGTGTGTGAAGCCCACCCAGTGGTAGCTCTCTAAACAAAGGAAGACTTTGGAGAGAGCTACAAAAAAACAAGTTAGTTAAGAAAATTACTCTGAAGTATGTGACTATTGTAGTATGTTGCTCTTGATCCATATCTTTATAATTATCTTGGAAATTGTGTTCCCTACCTATGAAACCAATCTTTACACGTACTGATTTCCAACATATTATTCTCTCTGAATGATGTCAATAATATGGTGATCTAGCAAAGATCTTGTGAATCATTTAACTAAAGATGTATGATTTGCTGTCTCCCTCATACCTAAGAAATATGTATTTAAATTGAATCTGTAAGACATTAAAGCACTCTCGACTGACCATCTTGAGTCTCTTGTCACATTAATCCTCAAATCTGCCTCCTTGAACCCCGGTTCATGCAGGGCTGGCCCCTGCAGCCAATAACTTCAATACATTTTGGATTTGGACTTGTTCTTTCAGGATTATTGGCTCTTAATTATATACTCTGGTAGCGTAGTGGTTACGAATTGGGCTGTGAACTGCAAGGTCAGCAGTTCGAAACTACCAGCTGTTCCATGGGAGAAAGATGAGGCTTTCTGCTCCTGTAAAGATTTACAGCCTCG